GGTGGTAATACTGCTTACATTCTTCAGTGATTTTTCTCCTCTAGCTGTTCTCATTGCCTGCTGGAGAAAGGACTATGTATAGTTTGATAACAACTGCAATTTCTTAGTTTCTACCTTTCCATCAACTATACTAAGGTTTCACAACTCATGGCCAAAGTTGATATAACCCAGGGCCAGAATTTTCTCTTCAGTTTGAATTCTGAGTGAAGTTATAACCTTATATAACTGGGTATATAAAGCTGACTGGGCTGGCAATTTTGGAAAAATGGTCAAGTTTAGTGGCATGCTCTCACAGACCTCAGCCACAAGGGCACTTCCCCCAGGTAACAACCACAGTTAGACATTTACAACAAAAAGTTCTTCTTAAAGGAAGTGCAAGTTTAATAACTATCACTGACATTTTCCAGTCATGAGTCCCAGCAATACCTTTTTCATTTTACAGCTCCCTCTACAAAAGGGCTTAACTTTTAACTGAATTTTATTTGCTATTTCCAATGTTATTAGAAAACAAAAGTTATCAAATTAATTATATTGTGGTATTGATAAGATGCAAAATGTTAAGCGGTAGATCGACAAATTATCAGAGTTGCAAATTCTGATTATAACTGGTCTCTTAGACATTTTGGGTTTACAGAAAAGTGTATCCAGTGCAGATCAGAAACTGCAGGGTCAAAAGAATTCTTCTGTCATGTAAATGTAGAGTTGGGAGCTAAAACTGTCAAAGTTAGCAACAAGTGATTTTTTTTCCCCAGAGAAAGTGAACTCACAAGAAACTTAAACTATTAGACATTTTAAGGTACTTTGACTCAATTCTGAAGGAATTATAATAGGACATATTTTTTTCATATAGTTAAAGATTTTCATGTGTTGTATACATGACGGTTTGGGTTTTTAAAAAAAATTTGACTCATAACTCCTGTTCTTAATATAAGAAAAACTTACTACTAGGAAAACTTTAGTGTAAGAAAAGTCACATTAGTAGTCCTGGAAATTTTGTATTATGACTGAAACATATTTGATCTCTCTCTGCTGGACCAAATACCACTATTTGGGGTTCTCTCTTGTAGAATACTAAAAAACAATTGTTTCTCCACTTGTAATCAATTTATGTATCATCATAAGCATGAGAGATCACTTCAGGTGGTAGAGCTGTTTCATGAAAGCACCAAGGAAGGATGTGTTGTTGTTGGTGATGTGCCGTGGAGTTGGTTCCGACTCATAGCGACCCTGTACAGGGTTTCCAAGGCTGTAAATCTTTATGGGAGCAGAAAGCCTCATCTTTCTCCCGTGGAACAGCTGGTAGTTTCGAACTGCTGACTGTACGATTAGCAGATGGACTCATAACCACTGCACTACCAGAGCTCCTTAAGGGAGGGCATAGAAAGTGAGAAATCAGATTGACTCAACCACCTTTCACTTAGTTTTCCTTTACAACATAAAAAAGTCAAAATGCTTTCAATTTTCCAGAGTGAAAATGGCATTAAAGTGTGCAAGTGCAGTGTGTACATTATTTGTCTCTTCTATGTCTCTGTAACTCCCACCAAGTGATTTTTTCCTGATGGATCTGGGGTTAGAGAAGGTGGGAGAAGATGCGGATAGGCTTACATGGTTCACTTGTGATTACTAACGGAGTTAATTTGGTTGGAAAAACTTGGAGCCACTTCAAAAGCTGGAATGGGGGATCTCACTACCACCAAAGAAAACCCACGAGTGGAGCATGTCCTTTGAACCCCCAGGTCCTAGTGCATTGATCCTCCTTGACCCAGGGACAGAAAGCTGTAACATGGAGGAGTATGAGAGGCACACAGTAGCTGAACCAAGAGCAAGAGCACCAATAAGAGCAGTGGACTTCTCAGCCCACAGGGCACGTGACTTTGTACAGTAGGCTCACTTGTATAGTGGGGTACCTCCTGAGACTTAATTGCGGAGTTACTGAGCGGAGTTACTGAGCACTGAGCGCCTTGAGGCTGAGGCTTATACAGGAGTGGTGTACATTGTTGAAACTATGGGGCCCTGCCCCAGTGGCCAAGGACCAGGGGCTAGCCTATGGGCATGCCTGGAAGAATTGTGCCCCAAGTATTTCTGATCCCAAACTGTAACCTGTTAACTTTCCTAATAATCCTCATAACTGTGAGTAGTCTGGTGTCTAGAATTGTGTGTAGCCATAGCAATGAATTATTGAATCCAGCTGAGTAGCGTGCTGTGGGCGGCATGACTGGAGTTTTTTGGGGGTTGTAGGAAGCAAATTGCTTCTTTCACATCCTCAAAAGGTGCTTTACGCTTACTAACAAGCACCTTTCATATCAGGTGATCTGTAAGCAAACTATTATTTGATCAGCAGGAAACATGCTTTTTGTACACTCTAGGTAAACAGAAGTTTTCCAAGAAAACCAAAGAGTTCAACCCTTTAATGTACACCCAAAATCTTTTAAAAAACAAAACAATATTGAAATAAAGATAGTTTAGCAATATTCAGAAGGTCAGCAGTAATTTCCATAATACTTTATACAAAGTCTGGAGTGTGTTACTTAGGTTGCTAAAAAGAAAGCCATGAGTGAGGCACAGCTGACTTGAAAAATTAAAATAACTTTAAGTTCTGCCTAACACTTCTAAAATGTTCTATGCCGAGCTTTCATACTGTTTCACAAGAGACAAAGGTCTTTGAAGAACTGGCCAAAACATTACAAGTTGCCCAGGTGCAGATGCCTCTCCAATGAGGTGATGGTTAAGTCAACTCATGACTGCTTGGAGATGGTCTGTATCAGTCATTGGATGAACTGCTATATACGCAGTACCAGAATGTACTCTTTATGTGCTCAACTTGAGGGTACTGCAGAGCCTGGGTCTTACAATGTTAGTAGAATAGTCATGAAAGATGTGCCTTTCTGTCCACATCTAGGTTCTTTATGCAGAATGATAATGCTCAAGAAAGTAAATGAGTGAAATGAATTAATTAAATATACTATGGGTTTGTTCCCTGTGTCGCTGTAGGTGGAGTAGCCGGCAGTTAAGCTCTCCTGGCAAAAGACAGATCGGCTTCATGAGTGTACTGGAACTTCATAGTCTCCCATCCTCTTGAGGCCCAGAGCTCCACAGCTCAAGTGCTCTTAGGTTTGTTTGGGTAAGTGTTTTTCTCTACTGGAAGATCTCCAAAGTAGGTGGGCAAGAAGGGGCCTCATGGTAGGTACACTGGACACTAAGAGGAATAAAACAGTACTTGAGCACTGCCGGGCCAAAGCTTGAGTCATTAGGTGAAAAAAAAATGACCAAATTTGTTTTGGTTTTAACACATACCAAGATTACTAACGAACACTGGGAAAATGACAAGTGTTTTGCCATCATTGCTTAAGAAAAAAGATTTTCGTCTTGAAACTGTGAAGTCTGGTACTGAGGAGCACTGGTGACACAGTGGTTCAAATGCTTGGCTGTGAACTGAAAGGTCAGTGGTTCGAACTCATCAGCTGCTCCATGGGAGAAAGACGTGGCAGTCTGCTTCCGTGAAAGTTACAACCTTAGAAACCCTGTGGAACAGTTCTATTCTGTACTTACAGGGTCACTCTGAGATGGAACTGACTTGGTGGCAGTGAGTTTTGAGTTGGGTCTGGTGTTGTAAACTGTTAAGTGCTTGGCTACTAAAGAAAGTTTGGCAGTTCTAATGTGCCTTGGAAGAAATGTCTGGCAATTTTCTGAAAGATCACAGCCATTGAAAATTCTATGAAGCCCAGTTCTACTCTGAAACACAAGGAGGCTGTCTTAATAATATTACCAGGTGGTAAAACCAATCTAGACCTTGAAAATAGAGTAGAATGCAAGAAAAACATTATAAAAATGTGAAGTGTGGTACAAAGCTACAAATATGGTGATATATGTATAAACAAAGGGGTCAAATCAGCTTTTTTCTCCAGCAGGTTTTGTGTCTATAAAAAGTGATTCAATCTGCTATATATTCAAATGCAAACTGGAACTAACTTCTTTACAATAAGATTTTCCTGCCAGTTTTGGCACTGAAGTTTTTGGGGTTCTGCAAGTTACAAGCTAAAGAATAATATTCTCAACTCTTAATATCTCATTTCCTTCAAAAACTGAAAGAACAGATATTTTAGTAGTTATATGTAAACAGGATCCTGACCATTTTAGCTCTCGTTAACCTGATAAACTTTCCTGGGTATAACCAGGTCTCTCTGAGAATTATAAAAATGCTACATGAGTGCACAAGTCATCCAGTGATAACTTTAAATAAATTATGCTAAAATAGAGGCTAGATCACCAATCATGTTTGCCTAGCTGTAAAAACAATGAAAATTTATAGACCTGCAAAGATCAAATGAAACAGAGCAATCACCTTAACTGGCTGGAAGTGCAACATACTGTAGGTCTTCTCGTGGACCTTCAGAAAGGTTATGAGATGAACCACCCACTCTGATTGGCTGTGGTCACACATCGACAATCCAGAGTCTATTGCACATTTTGGGAGGTAAGAACCACAGAACTTGGTGGCAGGTCTGAGGGTTGCTTATGACACTCCAATTAGCACAGAGTCAGACTGTGAAAAACGATTTGGAATCCCACAGCTAGCCCTTTTTTACCTTGGAAAGCCACGCATGAGGGTCAGTATGACAAGAATATAAATCAAGGTTAACACACAGCTAAGTGCAGGCTTAGGGCTGACCATCTGGAGATGGGGTTTAGCCAGTCTTTAGCAGATTACTTTCATTATTTAATGAAACATGTATTTTAAATTTTAGAGAAGTTATAATTCACATGCAACCCTTGTTCAAAACCAAAAAGTTATATATGTCCTATGACAGGACAAACTGTCAACCTGTTAAGAAAAGTTCCTGCCATCCCGCCCGCCCCCGCCCCCCTTTCTTTTCCAGAACTTGCATATATATATATAAATACCATATCTGTTGTGTGTGTGTGTGTATATATATATATATATATATATATATTTTTTTTTTTTTTTTTTTTAAGTATCTTGGGTAAGGAGGAGGAATAGGAATGAGATAAAGATACGAGCTAAACACCCAGCAAGCTCAGCTCTGCATTCTCTGAAGGGCTGGCAGCTATATAGTTAGAAAGCCACTCCTTTGCGGTGATGGTCGATATATTTGAACAAGAAGATCTTTAAGAATTTCCTTATTCATTCAGTCAGGACAATGGTAGGGTTTTTGTTTTCTTTGTTGTTGTCGTTGTTTTCTTGGGAGAATAATTCATCAGTGCTTCCTGAGAGGCTCAAGTAGGATCACTGGCCAGATTCCAAGGAGAAACTGTTTGGAAACAAGTTGGGATACAATGAAAGATGATAAAAATTGTTCTACATTATCCCCGAAGAAGAGTGAGAAGGAACCCATGGGGCTGTGGCTGCAGTGCTTGCAGGTCTGCTTGTATCTGGTATTAGCACCTGCACACAGCAAGTGGGTCAATACAACATAAGCCATATTCCCTTCAGGTTTCTGCCAGGTCACAGAAACTATTATTTAATCTATTTAGATGTACTGAGCAACTACTTTGTCAAGTATGGACCTGGGCACTTAAATATCTTTAGTTCTTAAAACCACTCTACATTGTACCTACTATTACCTCTATTTTTTTTTTAACTGAATATATACATTTTTTAAATTGTGGAAAATATATATGTAACAAAACGTTTGCCATTTTGACCATTTTCATGTGCACAATTCAGTGACAATTGTGTCTACCTGGTAGCAGCTTCATTGTATTGAAGAAATCAAAGCAAGAGACTGGTCAAAGGTCAAGTAGCAAATTAATAGAAGCTCTGAGTCAATGCCTTCTGGCTCCAAAGTCTGTGCTCTTTCCACTTCCTCTCCTCCCCTCTTTTCTCCCACCTCCATCCCATCCTAATATTTCTTCAGCCCCCCACAGACCTAGGAAGTAGGACTTACCTTCACTTTTGGCCTGTATCTTAGGTAAAGTGTTCTTGTATATAAACTGAAAAAAAAAAGAGAGTGGGTAAAAGATAGGACGATTTTAATCCATATAAACTGGTACACTGACAAATGTAAGCAATAGTGCCTTAGTATACAGGGGGGCTTCAAAAAGTTCATGGAAAAATGGAATTAATTACATTGTAATTCCATTTTCAATGAACTTTTTAAAGCCCCTCATACACAAATAAAAAGAAACATTGACATATTCTTTGTTTATTCAGCAACTTCATTTTTGAGCTTCTATTCTGTGCAGAATATTTGTCAAGATATTAAGACACAAATAATCAATGCCCGTAAAGATTTACACCCTTGGAAACCCTGTACAGGGTCGCTATGGGTCGGACCCGACTCGATGGCACTTAACAACAACAACAACAATCAATGCATAGACTGTGACTTCAAGATCTTTGTAGTAAGGTGTTTTTTGTTGTTGTTAAGTGCTATCAAGTCGGTTCCAACTTACAGTGACTCTGTATAGGGTTTCCAAAGAGCAGCTGGTGAATTTGAACTGCCAACCTTATGTTCTAGTGCTTATTATCCTACAGCATCACACCATGTCAGTGTAGGGGTAGCTTTCCACTAATACTTGGTATCATTCCTATCAAGACCAGCAATTCCGTCTTTGAAGATGAATGACAGTAAGGATTAAAACTGAGGCTACCCATCAAACTTTGGGAATGAGTATATCAGCTATACAAAGGTATGAGGATGACCAAGAAGGTTAACAGAATGTCTCCTTGTAAATGGGTTACCTCTGAAGATAAACTCAGATTCTAAAATCAGTGCATACAGCCAAAGTTCAGTTACATTTAATTTTGAAAATGACATCAAACTTGTGCATAAAATGATGCAAGCATAGCTTTCTGTATAGTGTACTATTTAAATCTATTTGCATAGTTATGTACACTCTATTGGGACTACATATAAAATATACTTTTATAATATCTTAAACAAGAGAACGAGAAGATGAAAGAACATTCACAATTGTACTGTGTAAATTCATGAAGCTATAATGCCACTACACTGTACCCCAAACTGGAACTGTGAAAAGGATCATCAAATATTTTATTTATAAAATATCTAAGAATACAATTGAATTCTGACAGTTTTTTCAGATGTTAGTCTCTAAAATAGACTTACTATATTTCTCCTCTCATTCAGGAAAGAGTCCTGGACTAGGGCAGAGGAGCACTGGATTCCAATCCTGACTGTTATCTCTACCAATGTGGGGCAGCCAGCATTACATAGACAATTTAGTCTATGAACAATCCTACTATACTAGGTGGACATTATTCCCACTTTGCATTTTACACTCTATTGCCTGGACACCTAACTGGTAGTAACCTTCAATAAGTTACTTTTGTCTGGGCCCGTTTCCTATACCACCAAATAAAAAAAAAATTACAAGGTGATTTCTAAGGTTTCTCATTTTGTAAACTGAAAACTGACAACGTTCAATTCTGTTTTGGAGACTGAAAACTCTGGGCCCAATTCCAGGTGATAACACTAATTGGCCATGAGATCATGTGTAAGGTACTTGACTTTTCTTTCCTCAGGTTTAAAATACTATACAAGAGTGGTATGGTGGTGTGGCACTATAGGATACACATGGGGCTGCTAACTCAAAGGATGCAGGTTCAAACCCATCAGCTGTTCCCTTGGAAATCCTATACAGGGGTGCTAACTTGACTTCACATAACAGCAACAACAATATGTCTCACAGGGGGGCATGGTGGCTCTAGAGGATTAAGCACTGGATTGCAAACCACAAGGTCAGTGGTTCGAGCCTACCAGCTGCTCCGCAGGAGAAAAATGAGACTGTCTGTTCCCACAAAGATTTACAGTCTTGAAAACCTAAACCTATACAAGATCACTATGATTTGGAACCAACGCAACAGCACCTAACAACAATACGCCTTACAGAGCTGCCACGAAGATTAAAGGAGGTAAGTACTAAGCTACTAACCAAAAGCTGGCAGTTCAAATCCACCAGAGGCACCTTACTATAAAAGGTGTGGTGACTTACTTGTGAATATCAATCATTGAAAACCCTATAGAACACTATTCAACTGTGACACACATGGCTAGATTTGATAATTGGTTTGGTTAGCCCTATGCGACTATTAACCTAAAAATCAAACTTTTTATATTATGAACATTTCCACACATAAAGTTTCCTTTACATAAATCTGTTAAAAACATCTAATATTTGCAACATCTATAATAATGTTTTCTTTTACATTCCTGATACTGGTTATTTAAGGTCTTCTCACTTCCTCCTTTCTAGTCTCCCCAGATGTATCTGTCTGGTATTAAGTATCTTGGCTCCACATCCACCTTACCTTCCTATATTGTTTATGACACTGCATGGCCAGCTGGTTCCCTGAAAGAGAGCATTACAGGGAGACTGCAAAGCTGAAAGAGAAAGAAGGGACTTGGCTGCTGTTTTATTTTCCTGAGAGGCTTCTGGCTTGTGGTTGCTGTGAATGGCATCTCAGCAATGCTTTGTCACTGTGGCAGTAGCAATTTGTTCCAGTAGCAGCCAGTGTCCTTAAGAGCCTGGGTCCTGGCCCCATTGGGGCCTCCTCTCCTCTGAGCTCAGAGACACCAGGACTGACTAAGCAGCAGCTCCTCAACTTTGAGACAGAATCTATGTCCCTATTTCTACTGTGACTTTGACCAAAAGAGTATGGGGGAAGTGAGACATGAATTCTGAGACTAGATCACAAAAGCCACCGCTGCTTCTGCCTAGTTCACTTAAGATGCTCCTTCTAGGGGAGGCTGGCTATATAGGTAGGAAGGCTGATTACACCAAGGCTGAAGAGACCATGTGTAGATGTCCCATTCATAGACCTAGCTTAACTCTTAGATGACAGCCAGCATCAAATGAGTGAACCATCTTGGACATCCATCTCAGTTGGAGCTTTCAGATGACTGAGGTCCCAGATGACATCTAACTACAAGCCCATAAGACTCCAAGTGAGAACTGTCCAGCTGAGTCCTTTCAAATTGGTAACCTACAAACCTGAACAAAATAAAACGGTTGTTTTAAGCTGGCAAATTTGGGTTGTTGTGCAACATAGTTAACTGAAATACTACTTTTTTTTTCTGAAACTCAAACTAAGCTATAAGCTAGATTCTTATCTTTATTTCTCTTAACTATATTTTTTCTATTTTTGTCTCTGCTGCATCTAAATAACTTTTTCTGACTTTTCTTCCAGTTTACTAATTCTTTTCTTAGATGTGTCTAAATCTGTTAGTCCTATACATTGAGTGTTTACACTTTGGCTATAGTTTCATTCCTGGAGGCTTTACTTGGTTCTTTTTCAAATCTGGGGGGAAAAGAACCACAAAAACCTTTCCCCATCATTGCCAGATTTTCTTGGAAATCTGCCATTTGCACAACTGATGGACACTGAATGCTGCCATTCCTATGCAGAATCTCTTCTCTCCATGGTCATGACTCCCTGGAGGGTTTTCACACCAGGATGGGAGAGAAAAAGAGACAGGTAGAGGAAATTAAAAGATGATGGGGGAAGGGGAAGTGGGAAACCCTGGCCTTTAAAATCAGAATGTAATGAATATACTTTCATCCTTTCTTGAGTATTCATTATAGAAATTCATTACTGTATTGTACTACAACACAGTAATGACTGTTTGGAATCTCTTGGGCAGTGCTAAAGTGCTAAATTTTGTATTCTTGGATTTGCTGTAAAGTTCTTCTTACTTTTCCTTTCTTGCCATTTGTCAGTTTCCCCAAGCATTTCTTCCTGTATCCTTTCTCTTTCAATTTAGACATTTCCAAAGTGCTATGGGCCAAGCATCCAAATGTGGAAAAATATGTTTATGATCGCTTTCTTCTTCTTTTCCTAAAGTAGGAATATGTACCTTAAAAATTTGAACTAGCCAACCGGGTTAGGGAATAGATTGTGCGGTCAAAACCCTAGCCAATAGAGTGAGACACAGCCTTGAAACTCGCATCAGGCATTAAAAACCCAAGTGGACTGCCCACTCAGTGGTGTGCTCGCTGGCTTGTTCCTGTATGTACGGCTATGCGCACGCAGCCTCTTGCAAGAGTAAATTTTACTTTGCCTAAGTAATTTAGTCTCACTGAGTGTCTTTTACGCAACAGCAGGATTCATTTCTAACGCAAATATGCAATGAAGTAAGAAGTTGTAAAAAATAACACTTAGAACCAAGATTGAACTTCCGTGACTAATGAACCTTGAGTTAGTAATATCATGAATTCTGCCCAGAAAATATTTCTATATAATTCACAGTTAAATTTTAGATAATTCAAGTTATCTGGATAAATTGATCTCCAGGTAGGTGAAATATGAATATTACTTTGGGGGAGGTAGTCTAGAAATTTCACTTGAGAAAATTTTCATATTGGTTCAAAGGAAAATGTTCTGCCCCTTTCTATAAGTATTTTAGCCCTCTCAATTCTTGAGACAGAAAAATTTGAAATGAAACAAGCCTGATCCACTGCAAAAGATATATATATACATTCATTAAAACAGTTATGTGCCAAGCATAGTTCTAAGTATTGGGGAGGGCAGCAGTGAATTAGATAAAGTCCCTGATGATATATTATAGTTGAAGGAAGTAAACAATACATAAAAATCAAACCAAACCAAACACACCAATGTTGAGTGGTTCTGACCCACAGTGATTCTATAGGCAAGGGTAGAACTGCCCCATGGTTTCCGAGACTGTAAATCTTTACAGAAAATGACTGCCATATCTTTCTCCCATGGAACAGCTAATGAGTTTGAACTGCCCACCTTTTGGTTCAGAGCTGATTGCTTTAACCCAATGCCACAAGAGTTCTTTAAAATAAATATGTAACTGATTATAAACTAAGGGGCCCCGGTGGCCCAGTGGTAAAACACTTGGCTACAGGAGAGGTCAGCAGTTTGAATCCATTAGCCACTCTGGGAGTAAGATGTGGCTGTCTGTATCTTGGAAACCATATGAACAGCTGTACCTTGTCCTTAC